GCTTTTCTTTTTGAGTTTATCCATTTATAGTGCGGCCTTCCTCTTTTCCTACAGCCTTTCATTATTTCCCCCCTTAATGAGTCATGTCTTCTCACCATATGTCCTATGGAGGGATTGTCTGGGGTTTGTATTTGATTTTAATTTGTAAGCTGCCTGGATTGGTCTTCCAATAGGCGGGGTATTAAATAAATTTTATTATTATTATTATTATTAAATATGATAATCTCAGTTTAATAATCTTGGCTTTGAGGGAGATTTCATGCTTGACTTGCTCTTGGACCCATTTCTTTGTCTTTTGTGAATCCATGATATCTGTAGAATTCTCCTCTAGAATCACATTTCAAATGGTTTGGTTCTCTTCCTATCAGCTTTCTTTACTGTCTAGTTTTCACACAGCTACACAGAAATCAGAAACACAATACCATGGATAATCCTGACTTTGGTCTTCAGTGATATATAGTAGGCCCTTTGTAGCCACTGGAGTTTGGTTCCAGGACCCCCTGTGGACACCAAAATTCATGGATACTCATTCCATGAATTTTGTGGCGTAATTGTGTGCCTTATATAAATTGGTGAAAACCAAGGTTTACTTTTGGAATTATTTTGCAGGAGAATACTTTCAAGCTGTAGATGGTTAAATCCAGAAATTTCAGCAGGGAGAAATGTAAGGTACTGTACTCAAGCAGAAAAAAATGAAATGCATAGATGGGGGAGACCTGGCTTAACATGACTACATGTGAAAGGAATCTAGGAGTCCTAATAGACCACAAGTTGACCATGAGTCAGGAGTGTGATACAGCAGCTAAAAAAGCCAATGTAACTCTAGGCTGTGTCAATAGAAGTATAATGTCTAGGTTGAGGGAAGTAGTAGTACCACTGTATTCTGCTTTGGTCAGGCCTCACCTGGCGTACTGTGTCCAGTTCTGGGCACCACAATTCAAAAAGGCTGTTGAGAAGCTGGAACGTGTCCAAATGAGGACAACCAAAATGGTGAAAGTTCTGGAAACCATGTCCCAGGAGGAGTGACTTAGGGAGCTGGGTATGTTTAGCCTGGCAAAAAGAATGTTAAGGGGTGATATGAGAACCCGTTTAAATATTTGAAGGGGTGTCATATTGAGGATGGAACAAGCTTCTTTTCTGCTGCTCCAGAGAACAGGACTAGGAGCAATGGATTCAAACTACTGAAAAATTGATTCCATCTCAACTTTAGGAAGAACTTCCTAAAGAGCTGTTCGACAATGGAACACACTCCCTTGGAGTATGGTGGAGTCTCCTTCTTTGGAGATTATCAAACAGAGGCCTGATGGCTATCTGTCTGGAGGGCTTTGATTCTGTGTTCCTGTATGGCAGGGGGTTGGAATGGATAAGAAAATGGTTAAGTTTCTTTATGATTGTGGTGAATCATGGTGAATTACTGTGGGTGTCATAGATTAGTTCCCAGATATAAGGGTGGGGGGCTCTAACCATTGCTCAGGAGATGAATGCATAGGAATAGGAATGCAATGAATACTACTGAAGTAAAGTTTTTCAAAAAGATTATCCTGAGACTTGTTGGAAGATAAAGCTCAGAAATTTGTACTTTTGCAGGGTGTTTCAGAGAAATCAAACACACACACAAAACCCATGTGTACATTTAAAAAAAAATGCAAACTTCTTAAACTAGCTAGAATTTAAAAACATGCTCTCCCACACACATTATTCAATGAAGAAAATGCACACAAAATACATACATCAGGAAAAAATGCATCCAAAGCTTGTACACAAGAGAAAACCTTATGGATTTCCATGCAGGAAGGAAAAAGAATATCACATGCCGATTTAGCAGATTGCTGTCCTGTTGTTTGAAACAAGTCAACAGAACATCAAATTGCATTAAGAGTTATTCGGCCAAGACTTGTCTGTGACAAATTTCTTATAAATATAATTTCCATAAATTACATTCAGCTTCCACTTTTCAACATCTTATTTGTTACCAGGTACTAACAATAACATTGAAGATGCTATACAAAGTTATAAGTGATTCAAAATCAGCCAGTTGAAGACCAATAACATTTGTTGTTGTTGCAGAATTGTTTCAACGAATTGAAACATTTAAGGAGAGTGTGTTTGCATTCATGTATCCCTTACCCTTCTCCTGCATCAGTCAACCTTGTTCAGGGTATAAATTTCATAATGACTGTCATTGTGAGTGCTTGCAGATGCTTAAATCTTGAATTTTTACTAAACTGGGTGGAAATTAGTCTTTACATTATTTTATTATTCTTTCTATATCACTGTATCATCTCAGAGTATACTCCATATATTATAGGCCACATGAACACTCTATATTTTAAAGGGGCATAGCAGTATTGTGAGAGATTTCTGCTAGGGTTTCAAATTTATGGCAATATTAGCATTACAGGAAGAATCAGGGGCTGTTAAGAACTTCTTTTATAAACTGATCCTTGAGCAAAGAAGAAGGCAAGGAGAAAAGAAAAAAGAATATTTGAGATGTTTTTGTACTAGGATGCTTTTCCCTTTCACATTTTAACAATGCCTGGAAGCTAAATGTAGCTTTTAAAGAGTAAAATAGACTCAAAAGCAAACAAAGACTTATAGCCATCAAAGAACAGAAAAAGATCTTCACGATCTGTCATTTTAAAATCACATTAGACAACTTCCTGAAGCATGTTTAGCATCAAATTAGATGAAACAGCCCTCACTAATGTCAGGTGTTGATATTTGTAGGCTGATTCCTTTTTTAAAATATTTGTATGCTCTGTTCCTTAGGGTCGTAACAGCATCACAGGAAAATAACAACAAATAGTTTAGACTCATAAATCTAATTCAAACAATACCAGAGCTGATGTGAGAGCTACTACAATATAGTTGCTCCCACATCACTTCAATAATGTGGGTAAAATTAGCAAGTATCATGACATTTAACAAAGATCTATTCATTCCTCATAGCAATGACAACTCATCACTGCTTGGTGAATCTTTGTTTCGTTTCTTTGGTGATTTCTAGGGGGAAAAGCCACAGTGATATCATGGCAGCTTCCTCATTTTTAACAAGTAGAAGTGTTAAAGCCTGCCCTTCCATTAGGAAGACAAAGACTTCATCCGCATTGCAGAAATAATCCAGTTTGACACCACTTTGACTGCCATGGCTCAAGGTTATGGGATTCTGGGAACTGTAGCTTGTGGCACCAGACAGCTCTGGTGCCACAGCAAACTACAGTT